TCTCGGGCAAATATTTGTTTTAAGAACATCAAATTTCCGCGGCGCAACTATCAGGCAGATAGTTCCGAGATATGAACACTCTATTGTCTTTATTGTTCAGCACTAAATTTTCTTCCGCGCGCCAGTTTAAAAATCATATTGAATTATTTTCAACGTTTTAGATGAAAGCCGTGAAATCCAAATTTAAAATTTGAAAAAGAAAACACATAAAAACCGACTTAATACAATTTCAATTGTGTCTTTCTGGGTATGTTCCTCAGACGGGCACTATGGGCTGATAGTGTCTCTCCGTGAAGTATCGAGACATGGCAAAGCTCAACATACGAGATTACCACTCTCCCCATTCTTTTGTAAGTATTGGTTTAAAACCAACATTACACGCGTTCAAGACCTTCTTAATAATAACGGTTATGTTTTATCCTTTGATCAATTTTCCAAACAATTTCAACTTAACCCTTTCAACCTCTATTTTGGATCAATCAAGTCTATCCCAACCCCATCATCCTTGTCCAATACTCTTGTCCAATACTTTCGAACAGATACGACCCGTAAATGGCTGAACACGACCCGTACGGGTGGTGAAACAATGGTTTACGAGTCGTACAGATCGTGGAGCAATGGTGACCTGCATATCATTAGTAAGACAGGTCTCCTACCTCGACAGTACGACCCGTTCGACCTGTACGAATCGTACGAGTCGTGAAACAATGGTTTACGAATCGTACAGGTCGTGGAACAATGGTGACCTGCATATCATTAGTATGACAGCTCGCCTACCTCAACAGTACGACCCGTACGACCCGTGCGACTCGTACGGGTCGTGAAACAATGGTTTATGAGTCGTATAGGTCGTGGAACAATGGTGACCTGCATATCATGTTCCTCGTTCTAAAAACGTGAATGCCCCAAAGCGCAAAATGCGATGAATATTCTTCGTTCTCAAAGCGTGAGAACCCAATAGCGCTATAGACAGTGTATACTCTTCGGAGTCCTAAAGCGGGAGAGAGTCCAATAGCGCTAATTAGAATGGATATTTCTCGTTCTAAAGAGCTCTAATTAGAATGTGTACTCCTCGTTCTAAAAACATGAATGCTCCACACAAGCGCAAAACATGATGACTATTCTTCGTTCTCAAAGCCTGAGAGCCCAATAGCGCTATATACAGTGTATGTACGAGTCGTGCGAAAAGGAAGATGCCATCGCACGAGTCGTAGTCTGCGAGCAAGCTCACCTTTGAGTCACGCGCGCGAGCGGCGAAGACCAAAGCG